GCAGGAAGAGGAGGGAGCGTTGAATGACCAGTAGCTGGGTGGAGAGGGGGGGGCTAGGCAGCAGGTGGTGAACTTCATGCGGGTGATTGCGGTTGAGAAGGAGCAGGGAGAAATGAGGGCAAACGAGTGTAAGGAGGGGGTGTGGCAGGAGCTGTGATGGAAGGAGAAGGCGGTGTGGATGGTCTGGGTGGGGTGGAAGGTGACATGGGTGGGGGGGAGGGGGAGAACGATACAGCCAAGTGGATGATTTACCCTGCCTCCTCCAATTACCACTGTCCAGGTTCCTCAAGCGTAGTTAATGGTGAATGAGAAAGCTGAGGATATCAATGGAGCTATAAACCAGAAGAAGAGTCTGGAAAGTTGGAGCAGGGAGAAGACAACTTCCTTGTGAAAAATAATTTTGATCCTGAGCATCAATATTAAATACTGCAATATTAGAAACCAAGAAATTCTCATAATTCAAATTAAAAGCACTCGGCTCACAAGCGACAGATCTGGGTTCAATTCCTGGCAGGGCAAAACATTTGGTAAGTTTCCTCAATCCACGTGCCTCTGTTTACCTAGCAGTAAGTAGGAACACGGTTGTTTGTTGATTGGCGGATCGCTTTTCCGGGGTTAATAATTCCTTCAAAAAAAAATGTTTTCATTCAATCCACGACTGTTTATGGGACACTGCTGTGCTCAATTGCTGCCGCGTTTCGCCCTCAAAATATACTGTCAATTCACTTTACAATACATTCTGTGAAGCGCTTTGAGATGTCTCGAAGACGTGATAAGGCGCCTTTCAAATGCAAAGATTATTATTATTATAAGACCTTTTGAACAATCCTTCTGAAGCCATTGTTTTATTCCATTCCAATATCCGAATGGATGAAGATGAGTCCTACATAAATACTTTATTGTTCTAAAAAACTTGGGTAAATGAATGCAAACACTGGTCAGGATTTCTGCTCATAATTGCTGTAAATTGACTATTGCTAGATATAATTTGCTGCACTGTCCAGTTACATGTGGGATCGCTGCTATTTGGGAGAAGTATTGGAAAGATATGATAGTAACAGAAACATAAGCTTAGCATATGTGTTATTTATCCTAGGACATGAAGTAAGGGAAGAATTCAGAGGGAATATTTTAATCGAGTCTGGATAAAACAGATTATCTATGAAGCTCATCTGAATTATTCTCCAACACTATATAATACTAAATTCAATGCTTTTAAACCCAAGATTATGATTCTGTTGTTTAACGTGTTAAATAAGTACACTGATCACTGAAATAATAATGTGAGTTTTACTGAGAGAAAATATCTACCTGTAATTTTAAAGTGCTAATCTGCCACAAAAATGTGTTTAGGTGGACACTTACAATTGGAAATAACAATAAATTCGAATTATTCATATCAAATGGCTGAAAGTGCTTTTTTTTCCCTAGCAGTTCAAACGTGTACATCTCGTTGAGAATGTATGCAAACTGCACGATCACCAAATAACCTGATGTAGTGTCTTTCACCGAAGGGAAAATATCCACAATACCATAAAAAACAACCAAGTGCTAAATCTATAACCCAATCAGTTAAGCTTAAACTCGCCCGTTTAAAGTGACCATTATTTTTTTCCCCCCTCGTCCAGGTTGAGGTTGAACTTGGGGTTCAAATAGTTTTATTACCCCCACTTCTGGAAACATAAATCAACCTCCGGGTAAAAAAAAAAATATCACGACCAGAGAGTGAGAGCGACGAGGTATCTCGGATTGGTGACTTGACGGAGAGGAGGGAGGGAGGGAGAGGAGGGAGGGAGGAGAAGCCCAAATTCCAACAAGGACGGCGGTGGTTTCAAATCGTCCTACACTTCCAAAGCCACGGCAGGAGCAGCTGGACTTTTTTTTTCCCCTCTCTCTCCTCTCTCTCTCTCTCACTCTGTGTTCCCTTCCCCTGTGTTGTGCGGTGCGGGAGTTTCGAGGCGCTTTCCGCGTTCAAAAGTCCCGCGCCGGAGGGCGGCTGACCAATGGCGGGGCGAGTCGGGGCGAGGGGGCGGGGCCGGCGGGGGGACCGCTGGCCAATGGGAGGCGGCCGTCGGCATTTAAAGCGGCGGCGCGTCTGACCAATCGGCGCCCTCATCGCCGGAGCCGCCGAGGCTGAGCCTTTTGCTGCAAAAGAGGAGGCGATAGAGAGAGAGAGAGAGAAGAGAGGAGAAGAGAGGAGAGAGGGAGGAGGGGAGAGAGAGAGAGAGAAGAGAGAGAAGGGAAAGGAAAGGGATCTGTCTCCACGTTCGGTACGTATGGCTCCGCCGCTCGGTCCCCCCTTTTGCGTTCTCTCCTCCGATCCCCTTCGGCCCCTCCGTCTCGGCTCGTCACAGCGACGTCGGGGGGAAGGCGATCTCCGAGCACTTTCTCTCTCCGTCTGTGTTCTGTGTGTCTCTCTCTCTCTCTGTGTGTGTCTCTCTCTCCCTGTGGTCCACCTGCGCAGACAGACAGACACACACACACATGGACGGACGGGGCGAGAGCGTCGGCACAGGGCACACGGCACAGGGCGCAGCGCTGTAACATGGCAGGTCCCGCGGCTAATGGCGAGCGCTGCGCGTCGGCGCAGAGAGAGGGGAAGGGATCCCGCTTTTGTTGTGGCCGCGATCCGGGTGCGGGCGGTGGGGGGTTTCGTTTCCCCCTCCCTTCCCTTCCTCTGTCGGAATATAGCGCGGGCTTTCACGGTAAAGCAGGAGGACAGGGTTTTTCAGGACTTTTTTTTTTCTCTCGCTCTCTCTCGCTCTCTCTCTCTCTCTCTCCTCTCCTCTCTCTTCACCTCCTCCCCCACACACACACACCACACACACCACACACACTCCCCAACCACCACCACTTCTCTTCTCCAACGCGCATTAAGCAGCGCGTAATGTGATAATATAATGTTTCCAGCGCTGGAACCGCTATGCGTCAAGTGGAGTCGGTCCTAACTTTCTTGAACCCCGAATCTTTTTTTTTCTTCTTCTCTCTCGATCTCTCTCTCTCTCTTTCTTTCTTTCTCTCTCTCTCTGTAAATATATATATATCCGGGAGGGACCCCCCCCTCCCCCCCACCCCTTCTCCTCCTCCTTTCTCTTTCTACACCCCACGAATCAAGAGAGTTTGGGAGAAGAGAAATAAAAAAAATGAAATAGGTTTGAAAGATTGGAGGGGGAGAGGAAGAGGGGGTTGTGTGTGTGTGTGTTTTTTTCTTTTGCTTCCTGCCTTGGGTTGTCCCGTGCTTTTTTGGGGGGGGGTGTTGTATGTGTGTGTGTGTGTGTGTGTGGAGGGGTTAGTGTGGGGTTGAGAGGGGAGGGCTGGTGAGAGAGCCGAGGAGGTTTGTATGTATGTGTGTATGTGTGTATGTGTGTGAGAGTGTGTGAGTGTGTGTGAGAGTCTGCGAGTGTGTGGGAGAGAGAGAGAGAGTGTGTGAGAGTCTGTGAGTGTGAGGGAGAGAGAGAGAGAGTGTGTGAGTGTGTGTGAGAGTCTGTGAGTGTGAGGGAGAGAGAGAGAGTGTGTGAGTGTGTGTGAGAGAGAGAGAGAGAGAGAGTGTGTTGTAAGGCATTGTTATAGCTCCACTAGCTGTCGTTTGGTTCCATTGCAAAGATGGAGCCATTTTAACGAAGCGCCTTAGCCATTGGGGGGGGGGACAGCATATTCACTGCCACTCTCTCCCCTCCCTGTGCGCTGATGGCACTCGGTGTGTGTGTGGGCTCTGTGTGTGTGTGTGTGTGTGGGCTCTGTGTGTGTGTGTGTGGGCTCTGTGTGTGTGTGTGTGGCGGCTCTCTGTAGTGTGTGTGTGTATCTGTCTGTTAGTAGAGGAGACCCGAGCAAAGGCAGACGGGGAGTGGAGGGGGGAGGGGGGTGGGGGGAGGGAATGGCCCCCCTGAAACCCCCTCCGTCGCGCAATTTTCCGTCCATTCGACCCCCGAAACCTGACGACCGAGGGATTTGAAGGGGAGTTTCTTTCATGAGGATGGATTTCTCAAAATGGAAGAAGAATTATCGGGCTGTTGACCCTGTTTTCTCCCCCCCCCCCCCCCCCCCTCCTCTGTGTGTGTGTGTGTGTCTCTCTCTCTCTCTCTCTCTGGTCGACGCGTATTCGCCATCATTGCCGTCCACGGCAGCGCCGGCGTTAGCGAAGGCGCAGCGCAAAGTGGCTCCAGTTTCCCGATAGAAACCTCCAGCGCTCTCGTTACCGTAACCCCAGAGCACTGCACTGCACTCTCTCCCTCTCTGTCTGTGTGTGTCTCTCTCTCTCTCTGTGTGTCTCTCTCTCTCTGTCTGTGTGTCTCTCTCTCTCTGTGTCTGTGTGTCTCTCTCTCTGTGTGTGTGTGTCTCTCTCTCTCTCTGTCTGTGTGTCTCTCTCTCTGTCTGTGTGTCTCTCTCTCTGTGTCTGTGTGTCTCTCTCTCTGTGTCTGTGTGTCTCTCTCTCTCTCTGTCTGTGTGTCTCTCTCTCTGTGTCTGTGTGTCTCTCTCTCTCTGTCTGTGTGTCTCTCTCTCTCTCTGTCTGTGTGTCTCTCTCTCTCTGTCTGTGTGTCTCTCTCTCTGTCTGTGTGTCTCTCTCTCTGTCTGTGTGTCTCTCTCTCTGTCTGTGTGTCTCTCTCCCTCTCTGTCTGTGTCTCTCCCTCTCTGTCTGTGTCTCTCCCTCTCTGTCTGTGTCTCTCCCTCTCTGTCTGTGTCTCTCCCTCTCTGTCTGTGTCTCTCCCTCTCTGTCTGTGTCTCTCCCTCTCTGTCTGTGTGTCTCTCTCTCTCTCTGTCTGTGTGTCTCTCTCTCTCTGTCTGTGTCTCTCTGTCTGTGTCTGTCTGTGGCGAAAGGGGGTGGAGGGGAGTTATTTTCTCGTCAGTGGTGGTGTTTTTTTTTGTGTGTGTGTGGGATTTCTTTCCAAATCAAAAGGTTTTATATTTATATATATATATATATATATATATATTTATTGCCGAAGAATTAAAGGAGGAAAAGGTTTTTTTTTGTGGGGGAGAGGGGGAGAGGGGGGGTTTACGCGCGCGCGTGAGTGCGAGTGAGTGTGTGTGTGTGTGTGCGGTTGTTGTCCTTGAACATAAAATGGAGATGGTAAGAACATGGCGGGAAAGAGAGAGATAAATAGGAGGAAAGACACTTGTGGTGGGAGTTTAAATAATATATATATATGATATGTGTATAGATATATATATATATATATATATAAAAGCCCCACCAGAGCGGCGTTGATCCACCGTTTCCTCCCCACACACACACACACACACACACGCACCGTCGGGTCGCCTTTGCAGAGGGCGAGTCCGCCCTCCTCGAGTCGCCTTTAATTCGCACCGAATCCGTCCACTTCGGGCGAAGAAAAGCGACTTTTAATAACAATGGGAAAAAGCAGGACTCGAGACGCGAGGTTTTTTTTTGGGGGGGGGGGATATAACCTTATTTTTTCTCTCTCTGCAGATCTCTTCCCTCCCCCCTCCTCCCCCCCCCACTCCCCTCTTTTACCTAATTCCACACAAATAGTCTTTTGCTATTTTTTAATTTTATTTTATTTTTCACCCCCAAAAAAACACACATTTTAGGATTTCCAAACTTTACTTTTTTTTTTCTCCACACCCCCCCACACACACACACACACACTTGGCAATTTTTTTGATTTTTCCAAGGTTTTTTTTTGGGAGGGGGGGAGGGAAATATTTTCCAAAATGTTTGTTTATTTAAAATGTCTTTTTTTTTCACCTAGAATCACCCCCAAGGCTCAGAATTCAGAAGGAAATGGGGGCAAAATCTGAAAGTAAAAGTATTTGGTACCAGTTTTAGTCAGTGTCAAGCGAGGCTTGTGCTGGTGATGTGCGCAAGAAAGAGTTTTGAAGTTAGTGACATATATATACATATATTTTTTTTCTTGTTTTATAGAAAATCACCAAAATGGCAAAACGTGACCCGAAGAAGCCGAGGGGCAAGATGTCCTCTTATGCCTACTTCGTTCAGACTTGCCGTGAAGAACACAAAAAGAAGAATCCTGATGTCCCAGTTAACTTCTCAGATTTCTCCAAAAGGTGCTCGGAGAGATGGAAGGTAACGTGCTTTTCGTGTCTTTAATCTTCCGAAGCCGATGCCAATTGCTGAAATAGCCTACACTTTGAGCGGTTTGGCTCGTAACCCCTCCTGATCTTTCGACAGACTATGTCGGGCAAAGAGAAGTCGAAGTTCGAAGATCTGGCTAAAGTAGACAAGGTGCGTTATGATCGGGAAATGAAAACCTACATCCCACCCAAGGGTTCGAAGAAGAAGAAGGATCCCAATGCACCAAAGAGGCCTCCGTGAGTAACTTCCTAGACGTCCTTAAGTATTGTAGGGGGCTTAGCATTGGATTTTGGATGATTGGGAAAAGATTCATTATTCAAGTCTTTCTTCACCCACCAGAACTTGCTCGTGGTAATACTATTACTTGGTGATTCCATTCCAAAAATAAATTTTGGTTTGGTTGTATAGATTAACTGGTAAACTGATTCATGCATTCTGCAGGAGTATGGATTTTTTTTTTGGTGGTGGGGGGGTAGGCTTATTGATAGGAATTTCCCTACTGTCCATCCCTAAGATTGTAATGTCAGAAATTCAACCTTAATTGTGACTTGCACGGAATGAGTGTGCTCTTCCAACTGTGGTTTTTGCCTGACCCACTTTCTTAATTTTTCCCCACCCTCTCGCAGATCTGGCTTCTTCTTGTTCTGCTCAGACCATCGACCAAAAATCAAGGCTGGTAGCCCTGGCTTGACAATTGGCGATGTGGCAAAGAAACTGGGTGAGTTGTGGAATGGCTGCACTGACGAGGAGAAGAAGCCTTACAACGCCAAAGCTGCTAAGCTGAAAGAGAAATACGAAAAGGTAAGACTGAACGCAATGCCAAATGTCCTGTTACTATTCCAATGTTTGCGTGATCTTTGATTCTTGTGGTCCAGTCTACCCGCAGCCTATCAAATTTCTGCCACGTCATTCCACACGATAATAAATAAAGCTTTCTGCCCACTTAAAGCAAGATACTGAATGTTTACTTCCAAGTTTAGCGTTAGTAAATCTCTTTGTGGGAATGCAGAAGTCTTGGTGAAGTGGCAAGTGACTTTGTTATTTTTGTAACGTGTAGGACGTTGCTGATTATCGTACCAAAGGCAAGGTGGAAAGTGCGAAGAAAGCCCCTGCCAAGAAGGAGGCATATTGTGATGATGACGACGACGATGATGATGATGAGGAGGAGGAAGATGAAGAAGATGATGATGAAGATGATGATTAAATTGTATATTTCCCTCAGCATAATTACTTGCTCTGTAACTGAAAGCATTTAAACCCTGTTACAAGTGTTGCAACCTTTTAATTTTGTAAGTTGGTGTGTATATGGTCTAAGACAAAAAGCAGCTTGAGTTTTAAACTGTACAGGCCTTTTTGTAATATTCACACTACAGTGGTGGAGATTGATTCATCTGTTAGTTCTTCTTTCTGTAAATGGCAGCTTAGCCAATTCTCTTTACACAGAAAGGAGATTTAACTGGATTAAGATGTATTTATGTGGTGTTTTTTGTGTTTAAGTGCAGTATAGTTTAAGTACTGTTGTAGCCAATTCTTCGATTTCAGGATTGCTGTAAGTATGAGGTAACAAAGCAATCACAGTTTAAAAACCATCAGAGTTGTCGCTAAGTGTGTTGGGTCTGACCTGCTCCAGGCAACATTGCACATCGTCTTGGCCTGCATGAACGGTTGTCCAGTATGATTTTTAAAATTCATTCTGAATTGAGTTAGTATAGATTTTAGAAGCCGAACGAGTTGCAAGAGGGTAACTCCTTGGATAACTATTGAATAATTGGGACCTATTTAATTGAAAAGAATGTGGAATAGTAGGATATCTGACCTCCTATTTCCATTTCCAGGTATTAGTGGAGCAGAAGCACAGGACTTAATATGACAAGCAATTTATCTCCTGTTATGCACACAAGTTTTTCTTCCTAATGAGCAGTTAACAAAAAGGCTTAGTTTTATTCTGGATCTAACGGACCCCACTGCTTGGTTTAAAGCACTTGTGCACTCAACCTTGTTGACCTAGCTCGATGAATATATTATATACAGCATTTTTGTGTATACTATTTGGCTGCACACCTGTGGGGGAGATATTGGATATCGAAAAGGTAAGTGCACATTTCTTGCAACTGATGCAATTTAGGAACAATTGGGTCAAATCCATTAATGTCCCTGTTATTTGGAATGACTGTGCAAAGTGCCATGTGAGGGTGTGAATATTCATAGGCTGGATGCTTTACCATCCTAGTGACAACCCTGAATCTTCTGTACTTTAAAAATGATCTTGTAACTAAGGTATATTTTCTTTTTGTATGTTTTAGTATGCTAAAATGTGTTTTGAAGTAATTAAACAGGATTAAATTTGTAAAGTTCTGCCTGTCTGAAGTCTTTTTGTCTCCCATGAAAGGGCGATGTGGTCTGACAGGTGTGTGGGTTGTGGTTTACCAAGCTACAGAATCACTCGGTTGCTGAAGGTGAGGTGAAGTTACAGTTCGAAAAGTCAGGAAAGTGAATGGTGCATTTCTTCTCCCCACCCTCTCGCCAGTTGTGGTATTTTCATTACATAAGTATCTTAACCAGTGTTAAATGTAGGTTACATATGTCTAATCTAAGGGATTGCGCCTAAATCTAGGATCCCCTGCCTGTTGTATGCTAAGTAAGCTTTATGGACACCATAGCAAAGGATGATGAACCTACTAAAGTATTGCTTTTAGTGGCTCTAAGTACCTTGTAGCTGTTGGGTGCAAAGCATTTGCATTTGATATAATGCCTTATTACATCTTTGAGACATTTAAAGTGCTTCACAGAATATACTGGATTTTATGGGCAAAATGCAGCAGCCAATTGCATATAGCAGTGTCCCACAAACAATCCTGGATTGAAGTGACCAATTTGTTTTGGGCAGTAACTTTGTGTAGAGGCATTTGATAGGCAAATTCTACCATGTGTTCTGCAGAAGTATTTAGGGTTGTGTTACAACGTATTTCTTCCAAATGCAATTTAACTGAAATTTCGCTAGACAAACTCCACAGCTTGCAATTGGGTGATACAACTTCTATTTGATTTACTCCATTTGCTTGTGAGATTCTTTTAAAAATACTTCATAAGTGAAGTTTAATAAAAAAGTTGACTGGGACATTATGGAGCTCTTATTGCCATCTTATTGCATTGCCATAGCTCTAGATGTTTTACAGTCTATCTGTTATAGAATATTTCACTTATAAATATGCACAATGTTTAGTTTGCAAAGCCTTAAAAGAAGGGCACAGTACAATAAACCCTTGTCACAGCAAAGTGTTTGGGAGGATGCCAAATTTTGGATTATAACAGTGTTTGCAGGTGTTTCAGTAATGGCTCTGCTGCGCATCTGCCTATCTTATAATGCCTCTGTTGTACAGTTGGTACAAACATCTTCAAAATACTGCCTTGGCATTTTTAAAATATTAAGGACTTGCATTGAAAAACACAGTAAAATAATACTGTCAAATATCCAATCCCTTCCTTAGACTTCAGGCTATGCTTTGACCATCTAGACCAGGGTGGTCCAACTGGTGGTGATTCAGTTGTGGATTGAGTGACCAATTTTTTAAAAAGGGATTATTACCCGTAGACAAGCAATCTGCTAATCGACTAACACATGGGTTTCTATTTACTGCTAGACAAACCAAGGCATGTAGAGTAACTAAACTTATCCAACGTTTCGCCCTGCCTGGGAATCAAACCCAGGTTCTCATGCAAGAGAGGCGAGTGCTCTAACCGCTAAGCTACACAACTCCACATTGCCTATTTAAGGTTTGCATTGTAACTAAAATACAGTGAAATTAAGGAATACAATTTAAAACAAAGAATGTCTACACACTATGTATTGTTTATGCTGAAAACCATAAACATTTGTTACCCAAGTCTTGAATTAAAAATTTATTTTAATAAGAAATCGTTCGAGTGCATTGCCTTTAAATAAAATTCAAGGATCTGTCAAAGTTGCATTCCTCAATTTATTTTGTCCTATGGGTGGGTAGGTAGGAGCTAGTAAAGCTTTCTATTGGGATCAAATGTTTCTCATGTGTATTGTTTAAAAAGGTGATGCTTCACCTATTTGCATCTATTTGCAGAAGAGATCGGATTCAGTAATATTTTGTTTATTTACTTATGCAGTTACTCTCTATGCTTCAGCCCTGGGGACCAGCTAACAACTGAGTCAGAATCTACGGCTGAAGAGCAGAGGTCAGTATGAAAGTACACAAGCCGCTATTGATATCTACTGTAGTGTGTTATTACTGGATTAATGACATGAATGCTTCTGAACCTGTTTAACAGGCAGGGGATGACCTCCCATTGTATGACACCGCAGCTTTATGGGGGCAGTTATGGAACAGACACCAATTGCATGTGGTACCTGTAGTGGAGTAATGTGAGGTGGCTGACTGGTGTTGTACTGCTCGCTCCATGTCTGTCTGTGTTGTGGCTCTCAGAGCAAAGACAGCTATTGTAGCTGGAGCCTAAAGGATGGTGATTTTAGTCCAGGGTGAGACTCGGTGAGACTCTAGTGCAGTACTGAGCGAGGGCTACAATTGCTTAAGGTGCAGTACTTCAGCTGAGATTTTAAACTGAGCTTCTTCCTGTTCAGTCAGACACTAAAGATCCTATTTCAAAAGACTACAGAGTTTTTTTCAGTGTTCTGGCCAACAATCCCCCAGATTGATCGGTAATCACCTCATGGCTACCTCAGTTGTAAAACCATTGTCAATAATTACCTGAAAAGCCTTTGAAGTTTTAATCATTACAGGTAGCATACCGAACGCAAAGATTCCCACAAACTAATAATGATAATAACACTTAATGGGCCATCAAATGTTTAAACATTTTGTTTTTTGCTGTTGTTACAGGCTTTCAAAGCCCAGGTTCTGAGCTCAAAGGGCCTGGTTTGAACCCACAACCTTCTGACCTAGAGACAAGTGTGCCACCAACTGAGCCACGTTGACCTTTCTATTGGTTGGCACATTTCCACAATTTGGGTAATGTTCGGGAAATTGATGTCTGGACTGGTCGATGGGTGGCTAATCTGAGGTAGGAACTTCCTGCTTGAAACTGTTCCAGTTGTCCCAGTCATATTAAAAAAAACTGGACCTTACACTTGATGTTGGCACGCTCTCAAACAAGGGCTGATAAAAGAAGCAAAGGTTTGTTTATCACAGGGAATGAGAATTATACTTGTTCGTCTGTTACCAGAAGTTGACTAAACTTTAAAAAATAAATAAATAACTAAAGTGTTGTAACCGTAGAATGAGCAGATGGTGAATGTCGACCTGCAGCTGAGATGTTATCGGCTGCCCATGCTCAGAGCAGAGGTACAATGAAGACGGATAATGTGCAGTGCACAATAAAGTATGCTCGCTCTTAATCCTTAAAACGGTGAAAATAAGCACACTAAAGTTGTACTGGTTTATAAGTTACTTCTTCTACAAAGTGGTCGTACAATTATGTAGATTTTACAGTAGGGTAGAGTAGTTTATTCACATTAAGGTATAATATGTTGTATATAAATATTTCTGTGTATTTTTTATATATATATATACACACACACACAGACATCCATATGTATTAAATATATACCCACACATCCCAACGTTCAATTAACTGAATCGCTGCTAAATACAGTTGTATTTTGTCCAAGTCATATAGCATTGAAGTTGAAAATCCCAAATAAGAATGTACATATGTTGTGGGTGAACACTAGCAGAAAAGTTGCCTGAGCCAGATCACAGGGGATTGTAGTGTTACAATAATTCTTGGTCAGAGCATTGTTCGTGCAGAACAGGGTGTCATAGGGAACGAGTGAGGCCACACTCAGCAGGGGCAGAGGGTTGAAGCCAGGTTTGGGAAGCAGTGGTTTGAGAAGCTCCAGTCAGTGATGCCGTGAGTAGGAATTGATCTTGCTGTGGAATATTGTCCACGGTTGTAAATTAATTGTAGAAACAAATGCAAACGTTTTTTTTTTTAAATCTCTTTTCATCTGAATACATTGCATGTGGAAAAAAAAAACCTGGCTGATTGCGCTGCGTTTGCCTCCCTCCTCCCACAAGAGATCCGTGCATCTCAGCAATTAAATATAATGGCTAAGCTAAGATATGTACAATACCTTTAGTTGTCAAGGTGCTCATTTAACACCACTGTATTGTGGAGGCAAGAGAACATGCCGGGAAAGAGAAATGGAGGGGAAAGTGAATAAATAAGAGACGCATCAAACACCATTTAACTGCGTGAGAGTATGGGACGCTCAAATTGCCTTGTGGTAAATTTCTCTGTGATTAGATCAATTATAGCTGGAGGGTATCATCCAGTTGAATTTATGAATGAATCCTACACAAAAAAAGCAATAGCTTTAAGTCAAGTGTTGCTTCCATCAAGCATTATACTTCAGCTTTTATTACTTGTGTTCATATGACTATTTTGTTCATTTATACTTTATTCCAGCCTTGTTGTAGATCAGTTTCACTCAACCCTGCTGCAATGGAACAAGCAATAGGGGTGAGATTTGCAGCATTTCATAATGCCTTGTTTGTGCAGCACAAGGAATGAATGGGTAATCAAACACTGAGCTTTACTCCCGAGCTACAAACCAGAGTTCTACTGCAATATGTAGGCTATACACAATTTATTAATTTAATTGTATTTAAGTCAACCCAGTATATAAAGCCAGATCTACACTATTCAGAAGCCTAGCACAAGAGATATTGCAATGCATTTTTCGCTTTGTACAATCCGAATAACGTCTTGTGAATTAAACACTAGATAAATAACTGACCTGCTTCAGAACACATGGTGCTGCAAGGCATTGGTGTTCTGATTACATGACCAAACCCGCCTAATTAAGGGAATGAGGTACAAAATTTGATGCGAATATAGCCAGGTGACTGGTGAAGATTTAACTTTGCTCAGTGCCTCTCGCTCAAAGAACGCAAATCCATTTGTAATGACCAAAATATCGGTGTATTGTGAATTGCTCGGCTTTGGTTTGGGCTTGTAGATTCAGAGGTGGCAGTTTAGCAGTTCAACCGGCTATCGACACTTCTTGCAGCTGCTGTAGATGAATGGCGGTAACAGACAAACTTTGGACAGACGAACAATAGACATAATGGAGACATCAATGCCACTCAGATGGAGTGACCCTAATTACCAGATGACCATTATGGCAGAATTCAGTGCACTTCACAAAGCCAAATGTTAGTACTGTAACAATCTTATTCTGCTGGTTATTTTGATCAAGCTATTTTTCACGTAGGCTGAACTGTTGATATACATTTATTTTGCATATGGCGAAACCGGCTGCTCTATACAGTAATTCTACACCAAGGTGATGGCTACACAT